ACGCAATAGTGGAGTTCCTTATATAAGATACATAAGAAAATTAGGATTTGTACCCACTTTTCAGCTAACGTTAAATGTAAATGTTTCACTCACTCGCAACGCATTACTTGATGCTTAATCGGCCACTTTCAAAGTTGTTCATCAAAGCATCTTACTATTTTCAATCAACTGTTATCAGGAAGTTGCTACTGTCTATCTCCAGATTCAGTTTCCTTTTGTCACATCTTACGATCCCTTGGAACGTTATGGGGTTGTCGATATTTCTATTATTATATATTATCCACTCCCGAAATTGGGAGGATTTTTCTAATCGCTAATAGTCGGGTATATTTTTTTGCGATTAGGTGGAGTGTTTCTGCTCGGTTTATATGTACCTGTTTTTTTAAGCGTCCTAAAACTTTTAGTAATTTTATAAATCAAATACTGATCAAAGTTATTTCGCATGCTACTAACGTAACTTGTAACTTTTTAAGTGCTTCTTTACTACTGAATAATACATTAATACAACGACAGTATTAGACTTAAGCAGAATTAAAAGTTTTCGGGACGTTAATCTATTTTGACGTTGATTTATTTTTAAGCAGCGGTACCAGCTATGCCAGAGATGATTAATAATTACGGGAAGTCAAACTCTCTTTGATGGCATTTATAGTGAATATTTGCGTGATCAAAATCTCTTTGATGGCATATTTGCGTGAAGAAAAAATAAGGTACAGTATGATTTATTTCTCGTCGTAAATATTTATTAAATGACGGAGTAATCGACTAAAGTCAAAAGTGAGAAAAAATATTTTAATAGTTTTACTAGTTTTCTACCCATTTGGCAAATATTATAAGTGAAAATATTTCTGCATATTATAATCGTTATTAAAATAATAAGGGATTATTGATACTGCATTAGATACAAAAATTGTAAAAAATATGAAAAAACTTCATTACTTTTGATATATATTTAAATTTTTATATACCTACATACACAGATATAATAAAACATTATTTTTGCCGGTAGTATTTTTCTGTTTTCATCGGTGTGAGACCTTTTTCTTTCTTTATTTTCGTAAATTCCTTGGAACGTGTTTCAAGCATGGCGGCTATTTTTTATCTAGCACTCAGTTAGATAACTTGCAAAACAAAATATAAGGAATGTAGGTACAGTCGTTCGTTTTTCATAAGCAAAATTGCAATATTCATGAGTGGTTTAAGCAATTCCCGTAAATAAAAGGGTTTTCGTAATAAATTACGCTGCCAATTGACTTTGTAAAGAGGAATTAACTTCCGCGCGGTTTTCATGTTTTGTTTGGATTAAATGCGAAATGAGATGGACATTTTTTTCTTGATATATTATTTGATTTATAACAATTTGTTCTTGCGTCTTGGGAGGACAGAATTCATGAGTCGTGGGCAGTAAGTAAAACTCAAATATTGATTTTTGGGTCATCTAGTAAGGTGATTGTCTTAGTACCTACATCTGACGCTCCATCCATATTTATTGCAATTTTTATCCGACTTCAAAAAAGGAGGAGGTTCTTAATTCAACTATATGTTTTATTGTATGTAAGCGACGATATCTTCGCGAATCACGAAACGATTCTAAATGAATCACATTTTATTAAATCACGGAAGTAAAAACAAACTGGAACCCACATTCCTAATATTAACATTAGGAATAATCAAATGACCGCAAGTAACCCTTGTTTTCCCTACAGGACAGTCAACGTAACGATTGATATTACCCCATTGACAGCCACTCTGAATTTCAATATAAGTTTAGTTGTCTGTATGGCAAGAATTATAAGTGAAAAATGATAAAAAAGCTTGACAGAAACGATTTTCACGCAAGTGTTCGCTTTTTGTTTTAAAAACTTAATAAAGATTTACACATTTCCCTCACATTTTTCCCCTATTTTAAAATTATTCTTAAAAAGCCGTTATATGGCAACTCAAAATCTACACATAATTGTTTAATAATTTTGACTGCAAATGGCGGAGGTTCATTTCGCAAGAGTGTTTTTGAATTTTGGAATTACTAGTCATTAAATGTATTGTGCGCAATGAACCAATATTTATTAAAAGAAATCATATAATATTTTATGTTTTATAACCATAAATACATGTATGTAAATAATGTATTACATATGAATTTAAATGTTATCACGTTGATTGAAATCGGACCGGACATCTGTGTCTACCACTGCGTTACAGCGTATAAGAATAGAGGAGTTACAAGATAAAGATTTGAAAGAGAAGTATAAATGTAGATTGAGTGAAAATACTGGGTGTTTGAATTAATTGTGTATGAATGATTTATACTTGAAGATCGACGATCTAATCACTATGTGGGATAATGTTAAGGGAGGTTCGGTGGATGCAGCCACTGAAGTATGTGGTGTAAGTAAGGGAACAAATGAAAGGAAAATTAATAATACGTTGTAGTAGGATGATGAGGTACGGATGGAAGTTGAAGCAATGAAGAGAGCATTTGCTAGATTTACTTGCAACCAATACTGGTTTTTGCTTAATTATGGTGGTATGAATAATGAAATTCAAAGAAAAAAGGCAGACGTTAGACGTCTAAAGAAGTTGTTGAAAGGAAAAACAAGAAAAAATGGATAAGAATGATAAAAGGATATCTGATAACTTTTAGGCAAATATTATGGCGGCTTCGCACTGCGTGTGTTATCACTTATCACGCGCCGCGCCGCCCGTGTTGATTTGTATTGGCGCGGCCAGTGATAACACACGCAGTGAGAAGCCGGCATTAAAATATTCTGGGAACTTGCAAAAACTGCCAGGGGAAATTCAAAACAGTCTAAAATGAATGCTATACAAGACGAGAACAGATGTATTCTGAGTGACAAACTTTCGAGTTTAAACAGATGGAAGAAATACTTTGAAAGCGTGTTTATGAGTGAATAGCTGAATTAAATGAACTAGAAATCTCGAAAGAAATGGAAAGAGGTAAGTGTAGATGAAATAATGAAAGCAATGAAAAGCATGAAAAAGCAAGTAGGGTAGCTGAATATGATAGAGTATCATCACTCAAGATGCTAAAGACTGGAAAGCGTGAGGTGGCAGGCCTGCTATACACCTTGTTTATGTTGGGAATTGAAGCGGGTACCGGAAGACTGGTGTAAAGCAGTTATATTCTCAATAAAGAAAAAGATTCACGGCAGGACTGTAAAAACTACTGTGGTATCAGCTTGCTTAGTATTGTGCGTAAACTGTATGCTAAGGTGTTATTTGAGAGAGTTATGAAAGAAACTGATGGAAAATTTGGTATGGGGTATACAGATCAAGTCTTTTCCATGCGCATGATTGCGGAAAAGTTTTTGGCCAAAAACCAGAAAGTTTTTTGTGCATTCAAGGACTTGGAAAAGCCTTATGACAGAGTGGACAGGACTGTGTTATGGCAAATACTGAATTCATTTGGATTGAGCGCTGGTTTGATACAGGTATTAAGGTCTCTTTATAGGGACTCTAGTGCTTGTGGCAGGATCAACGGGGTCTACTCAGACTAGTTTGGCATTAAAAAGGTAGCAGACAGGGCTTTGTAGCTTCCCCGTGGATATTCAACCTATTTATGGACAGTTGTTTGCAAACTTTGAAGCGCGATGAATGTGGCTTAAGAATGGGCGAGTGAATCGTCAAATGTCTTTTGTACGCCGATGATCAAGTATATTTGCGTCGTCGGTGGCCGAGTTGCAAATGATGGTTTCATTAATGAACTGATCATTAAAAGAAAGGGGAATGAAAGTTAACGCAAGTAAGATGAAAGTGATAGTTTGCGAAAGAGAAGAAAGTAAAACGTTATGTGAAATAAGACTATTCTTATTTCTCTATAAGGGGAATGAAGACGCAAACTTCCGCTTAATTAAATACAATGATGTGTCTTACCTGGGTTGAAGAGCACCTCCCGCCCTCTCTCAATTGCGTGCATAGGCCTTGCATCCGAATATTGGCATATTCGTATAATTCGAATAATATAGCTTGTCCAAATATTCGAATATTAAAACCGCTATATTCGAATATTGAACCCATTTTCTGAAAGCCAAACTCGGAATATTGATGTGTACAAAATATTACTTTTAAAATTCGCGCGCGATATTTCGATTATAGGGTGCACTGCGCCGGTGGTCCGGTGCGGTGGTGTTGGTAGTTTGGCGCCTTTGCTCGTGCATTTGTCTGCCATCTACATTTTGTGCGCGTGCAGTGCGGACGGCGGAACGTGGTTATAATTGTGTTGTTTGTCATCGAGGTTTTAGTCTTTTTGAGTGAGTTTTGTATCCCAACGGCCTACTTGTCTATTCATCTACTATCCAGGAAAGGAATTACTTAATATTTTGAAGAGCAAGTTAGCATCCTAAGATCTATCTTTGGAAGAGGACATAGCATTCGTAGTGACTGCAAGAGTGATGTGTGCTATGAGTCGACAAGTGCCTTTGTATCATCAATTATGTTTCGCACATGGTATCCAATGTGCAGTGCTAGATGTTATATACAGAATGGGTCCCACATATATGCAATAAATGAAACCATATACTTGTTATCGCCTTTGCTGATGATATACAAAAAATGAACGTAATCAGTCCAGTAATTAGGTCAAAAAGTAGAGTTTTAATTTTAAACAAATTTGAACTCTCTATAGAATTGGGTCACTAAGTCAATGATTCAATGAACTTGAATCCTTGAACATTTAAAAAGCGACGTTGCCACGCAGTGCAAACTATTGGTATTGCGACATATCGACAGCGGTGTCTTTTGTCGGCGTGCCACCCGCGTGCAACGTTGTCACTCTTCCAAGGGGTCAAGGTACGTTGTCTAAACAGAGTGTTCACTTTTACTGAATGTATTTTAATATTTATTTTGTTCGAAAATTTCACTTTTTTATTTTACGGGTTTTAATTTAATATTTAATTTTTCTACACTTCTACGGACTAGTATTACTTGTGGTTTCATTTATTGCATATATGTGGGACCCATTCTGTATAAAAAGAATCAAGATGAGCCAGAGGAAGAAGAGGAAGAATCTAAAGGGAGCAAAGAGGAAACAAATGAGGATACTAACTAACAGTGATAGTGAGGGAGGAGAATTTGTGGTGGAGCAACATCTAAACAGAGGCCGAGACCTACATTTATTCGGGGATGTAAATTTAAAAATGTAATAGAGAAAATGCGAAAATAGTTAATTTTTTTAGGAAGTCAGCTACAAGAAAAGAGATTACCGATATTTATCTTCAAGAAAAGCAGAACAAAATGGGTTTATCTTAGACTGCAAAACCAGGTGGAGCAGTTTAGCAGATATGATTACAAGATTTTTGGCATTAAAAGACCCTATTCTAAAGATACCACGTTTAGTTTAGGTGAGCTGGTTTTATTGTAGGAATTATCCACTTCTTCGAATATTGTAAAGGCAACAGTAGAGACGCTATGCCAAGAAAATGCAAATCTGCATACTGCGGAAACAGCCCTTCAATTTATGGTTGCGAAACTTGAAAAGTCGAACAGATTTATCATTGATAGGCTACTCGAAGCTCTGAAGAATAGAATTGCTCAGAGACGCCTACCAAATTTAATCTGCACATTAAAATATCTCCACTATATCAGTAAATATTACACAGAGCTACCTTCTTTTATCTTTCCATTACCAGGCAATAACATGAATACAGAAGTGATAACTGAAATTAACGACAGATATTTTTCTAAAATACAGAACTCTGATAATGACGAAGATGACATAACCTTAGTTCAACTTCAGCTGCGGCAACACCAGTATCAGCAACAAAACGAGTCACACCAGGTAACATTTGCAATAAGTTTAGAAGAGTTACAAAAAGCGATATATTATGACACTAATTCCGCAACTCCTTCGAGGTCATTTGAGCCAAGCATATGACTTCCTCATGTGTCACCACCACCTACAAGTGTAGAGTGTGAAATGGTGTTTTCATCAACAATAAAATTGCAACCATTTAAGATGTGCTTTATAAGATGATTCCCTAGACGCGCTAAGTTTCCTTAGGTCCCACGTACAAGGAGAACGTTAAAGATTTTTTTATTGTAAAATATGCTTGCAGTTGACGACAATCATGCTCGGTGATGTATGCAAGCAGTGATGAGGTCTAAGTTGAATCGCGCTTGCCTAGAAGATACCTATTCACTTTTGTCTTGAAGGTACGGTTGTAGGTGTAAGTGTAAGAATAAGCCAAAGTTAAATGATAAGATTAAAATGTATTTTACTTTTGTACAATTTGATCTGATTCTGATCTCATAAATTCTAATACTGATTAATTATTTGTATTCTATCACAGTTGAAAATCTTTCTTTTAAATCTATTAAGTTTTGTAAGTTATATATAAGTTTGTAATGATTTTATTATTATATAAATATTATGACAATACTCAGAACTCGATTTATAACTAATACTGTTGTGTAATTGTGCTGTGGCTGTCTTGTTAAGCACCAACTTTTTATAGTTTTTATAGGACTGCATTAGTGCCATAACAGTGAAATTTCAAGCAGTTCTTTAATTTTTAACTATGATTTTGTATCGATTCAGAGAAATTAGACTCTAAGTAAGAGAATGGTAATAAAATATGATTATTATAAAAACTTTTGTTTTTTCTTTAATTATTCGAATAATTCGAATAATAGTATGTAGAATATTCGAATAAGTTTAAGTATAGTAATAAGTAGAATATTCGAATACCAAAAATTTCGAATATTTGCAAGCCCTATGCGTGCACTAATCCCGTCACCACTAATCCCAGCACCAGTACTCCCAACACCACTACTCCCGACACCACTACTCCCAACACCACTATTCCAGGAAAGACACACGATCGACACAGCATCGACGATAATACAATCTAAATATTAATGAAAGTATTAATAGTGGTGAGCGGATGATGGCTGCGGAGAACCGCATGAGAATTAGAAGGGGCATCTTCCAGGGTAATTGTTTGAATCCAATCTGGTTACACCTCTCTCTGAACCCTCTCACAACCTTATCCTTATCCTTATCTATATGAGGGCTCCGGAAGGGAATTTTAGCTTTGGAAAGAAGGGACAAAAGTGAACCACGTTTTCTATATGGATGATCTCTAGTTATTCGCCTCCTCACTCCGCACGACACTCCTGTCTTGTGGAATTGCTAAACATCACTTGTGATTTTTTATCCCCTGCCGAGGGCTTCCATGTGATTGGTTTCTTATTTACTTATTTATGTTGTTATATTTATTGCATATTTGTGTTTATTTATTATTTTATTTTATATTCATCAGATGAGAATACACTATAAATAATAATAATAATAATAATTAAGAAGGCGTAGGGAAGTGACGACCCCATCGCCCCCTGACGTAACAGTTATGTGAAAAAACTGCTACGTCGGCGCAGTCAGTCAGCACCCTGCCAAGAGGTGTGAGCGCCGTGCCTAGACAAAATTGTGGGTGCAAAGGTTCGTTTGTGCATATGACCGAACCACGAAACGGTGCCGGGCTTGGGCGTCTCCCGTTATTTGGCGTCCATAAAATGGATGATGGCACAAAGGGGAACACGCATAGGGCCACTGCCTGGGGGTCGTCGGGGCGCGTTTGGAGCTGGCCTAGACGCGGCAGCATGCGGGCCACCAGTCGAGTGTGAGGAGCTGCGCGGTCACCTAGCAGCCCTCCGCATCCATCATCCCCACCAGAAGGCTTGGTGTCGGCTGGGTCTTCTCGGACTCAGCAAGTGACACCCGCCGCTGGTGGAGCACGTCACATGCGTTGGTCACAAGCAATGAACGCAAACGCACTGCGGGCGTACTTTAGGGCAAAAGGAGAAGAAACTGGATGTTTGGCGTATCGGGCTAGGATGCATCATCTTTTTGCCGAGCTGGAGCCATTGGAAGAGGCGATTGTGGAAACGCGCAGTACGCCTCCCGAAAATCGACCGCGACTTCCCCGCATAGCCCTAAGCAAGCGGAATCGGGCTGTCGTGAGGGCTCTGAACCCAATGCTGGTGACCTATTTGGTAGCCGCCTGGATAGCCTACAGAAAGGTATTCGACTCGGTGCCCCATACATCGCTAAATCGAGTCCTCAAGCTGCACAAGATAGACTGTACAGTTAGAGACTTCCTCGAGCAGTGTATCCTTATCCTTTGTCATCTGGTCGAGCGGATGTTGGCTGCGGAGAACCACATAAGAATAAGAAGGGGTATCTTCCAGGGCGATTGTCTGAGTTCAATCTGGTTCTGCCTCTCTCTGAACCCTCTCAGTACCTTACTGGAGGGCTCTGGGAGGGGATTTCAGCTACGGAAAGGAGGGACAAAAGTGACCCACCTTTTCTATATGGATGACCTCAAATTATTCACCTCCAGTCGCTCCCATCTTATGGAATTGCTAAACATCGCTTGTGAATTTAGCAATTCTATTAGAATGGAGCTGGGGACGGATAAGTGTGCGGTCCTCCATGTTGAAAGGGGAAGGGTTGCTAACTCTGACTTATGTATGCCCGTCAACTTAAGAACCCTTTCCGAGGCTGAAACATATCTATACCTGAGTATGTCACAGAACATCGGTATCGATGAGGCTGGTATGAAACAGTCAGTTTGCGACATGTTTTATGCACGCTTGACCAAAGTGCTTAACAGCCTTTTGTCCGGTGTGAATAAGGCACACGCATATAACGGCTGGGTCATGCATGTCCTCATGTATACCTTTGGCATACTCAGGTGGACTCAGACTGAACTTAATGCCCTGGATAGAAAAGTCCGCACTAACATGACGTCCCATAGGATGCATCATTCGAGATCGTCGGTAATAAGGCTGTACTTGCCGCGAAAGCATGGTGGGCGTGGCTTCCTGAGCGCACTCACCATGCATAATCGCGAAGTGTGCAGCCTCCGTGATTACTTCCTGGCGAGAGCGGATCGCTCTATAAGGACGTCATTTCTTGTGATAAAGGACTTACCCCTCTATCCTTAACCAACGAGCAATGGCATCCTGCACCCGGCAGTGCAGAGCATTTCCGACCGGGAGACCGTATGGAAGGAGAAGGAGTTATACGGGAGGTTCTACAAGGCTTTACATGAGCCTTTCGTAGACACAGTAGCCTCCCTCCACTGGCTACGCTTTGGTGACCTCTTTGGGGAAACCGAGGGTTTTGTCTGTGCAATACAAGATCAGGTTTTTAAGACCAACAACTATCGAAGATACACCCTAAAGGATGGCACCGTCGACATCTGTCGAGCTTGTCGTCATCCCGGTGAGTCACTTAGGCATGTCATCTCCGGTTGTTCGGCGCTTTCTAACTCTGAGTACTTGCACAGACACAACCTTGCGTCTGTGCAAGTAGCACAGACACAACCTAGTAGCCAGAATTCTTCACCAGGAGCTTGCTTGCACCGTCGACATCTGTCGAGCTTGTCGCTATCCCGGTGAGTCACTTAGGCATGTCATCTCCGGTTGTTCGGCGCTTTCTAACTCTGAGTACTTGCACAGACACAACCTTGCGTCTGTGCAAGTAGCACAGACACAACCTAGTAGCCAGAATTCTTCACCAGGAGCTTGCTCTGAAATACGGTATCGTGGATCGGAAATTGCCATATTACAAGTACTTGCCAGAAGCCGTGCTTGAAAATGATCGCGCCAGGCTCTATTGGGACCGGGCCATCATCACAGACAGGATTATTCTTGCGAATAAGCCTGATATTGTGCTCATGGACCGGGCACAGTCAAGGATATTTTTGGTCGACATTATCCTTATGTGGTTCTCCGCAGCCAACATCCGCTCATATGCAGAAGGCGGTGCTCCTCGATACCGCTCGCATTGTCCGCCGGTTTCTTTCCCTTTCCCCCCAATCCTGGGCAGTTTGGTCTCCCTGCCGAGGGCTTCCATCTGGTTGGGTTTTTATTTATTTATGTATTTTTATGTGTTTATTTTATTTCATTGATATTTATGTATATTTATCATTTTCTTTTACAGTTATGTATTTATAGAACCCTATCAGATGAGAAAACTATATAGATATCTCAAATAATAATTAATAATTTATTTCTAATTAATAATTTAATTCTGCACCAAAACTTGACGATATCGTGCAAGTACGCAACGTGTACGTGTTGCGTGTGTGTGCATGTGTGCACACGTGGTAGTATGATTGCCGTAGCTATCGAACTAAAACATTGCGTAAGTGATGTTGGGAAAACGAAGATGAATTAGTTTAAGCGTAAGAATATTACTTTGTGTAATATAAATGCAACCACCTGATATAAAGTTTGACTATTTAGTTCTTTTTTGAACTTCGTGTACTATTCGATTGTTCACTCCGATGATATCGTATGTCGGTTTATAAATTGAAATACAGAAAAGGTGACCTTATAATTTATTCCAATACCACAATCCGTTTGGTCACTAATTAGATGAGTTTTTTTTTCAATAATGATTTTAAATCATGCTGTGCAATCATTTTCAACTATTTTACGAGTAATAATTTCGCTGAGTAGGTAATTGGATCTAAAGTTAGTCAATCCCACCAACAATAAAAATGCGAAAAAGGCGTATTAAATGATTTAAAGGAGTAAACAACATTCATCAATTCATTTAAAAGATGATTTAAGTAACTGCTACCCCGACGAGACAACCCCGAACGTCGTTTGTACCGTACTTAGCTGTACTTAGCCCCTGTTTTCACATTAATATTTTTGGTGGGATATTATTAATTTGGAAAGTTTTATCCCTTTATTATTTTAAACAAATACATACTTACGCGAACACTACACGTTAAATAAAACCAGTTTTTTTTAGGATTTTATCGCGTTTATTCATCATGTTTTTATATTCCTGGTGTTTTTTACTTTGCAGTAGGTCAACTGAGGTGTTCAACATCCCATTGTCAATGTTATAACGATGAC